TCATGTCGTGGCTGTGTCCTCGAGCAGGGGTCTGTGGTGTCTGCACAGGGGCCCATCCACAGTGGCCTCACAGCTCTGTCACCCTGGGCAGGTGAAGCAGCTGCGCCTGGAGCGGGAGCGGGAAAAAGCCATGCGGGAGCAGGAGCTGGAGATGCTGCAGCGGGAGAAGGAGGCAGAGCACTTCAAAACCTGGGAAGAACAGGAGGACAACTTCCACTTGCAGCAGGCCAAGCTGCGGTAGGTGTGGTCCTGCTCAGAGCCAGGCCTGGCAGGGAGCAGAGGATGGCACTGCTCAATGTCCCCCATTGTCCCTTTGCCAGGTCCAAGATCCGGATTCGGGATGGGAGGGCGAAACCCATCGATCTCCTGGCCAAGTACATCAGTGCAGAGGATGATGACCTGGCTGTGGAGATGCACGAGCCCTACACCTTCCTCAATGGCTTGACTGTCTCTGACATGGAGGACCTGGTGGAGGACATCCAGGTGCCTGCTCTGCTGGCCCTCTGCCTGGGCTCAGGGCTTCTCTACCAGCTCTGCTCTCCTGCCCCCACTGTGGAGCAGGTGCCTGATGTGTCTTCTGCCTGCAGGTGTACATGGAGCTGGAGCAAGGAAAGAACGTGGACTTCTGGAGGGACATGACCATCATCACGGAGGATGAGATAGCCAAGCTCCGCAAGCTGGAGGCCTCTGGGAAAGGAGGACCAGGTGAGCAGGAGAGCAGAGCCTGGTGTGGGTGTTGGGGTCACCCTGTGTGCTCAGGCTCAGAGAGGCTCTCTCAGACCTGCTGGATGCAGGCTGTGGGTCTGGCAGCTGTCCCTGGCTGTCAGCAGAACTGGGATGGAGGCAGCTGGGTGCCTGGACAGTGACTGGCTGCCCTCGCCTGCGCAGGGGAGCGTCGGGATGGCGTCAACGCCTCAGTCAGCTCAGATGTGCAGTCCGTGTTCAAGGGGAAGACGTACAACCAGCTGCAAGCTCTGTACCAGGGCATTGAGAGCAAGATCCGGGCGGGAGGCCCCAACCTGGACATCGGCTACTGGGAGAGCCTCCTGCAGCAGCTGAAGGCTTACATGGCTCGAGCCAGGTGAGAGCAGAGTGTGGCAGCAGTGCAGACCCTGCCGTGGGCAGAGCTGGGGAGGCATAAACCCAATTGGAGGAAGGAATGTGGGAGGGTGTTCTGCCTTTTCTGAGATGGCTGATTTCCAAGAGGGGAGCAGGGCAGGACACACAGGCCGTTCTGCAGCGGTGATGTTTAGTGAGGTGTCCAAGAGGGAACTGAACTGGGGCTTATTCAGCCCAAAGCCATCCACGCCTGGCATGTTTCTGCCCATGGAGGTGGTGTCAAGGCTTTGGGCAGTGGGAGTGAGGTGGTTCTGCTGGGTGGGACCCACAGCTCCTCTCCTCTCTCAGGTTGCGGGAGCGGCACCAGGACGTGCTGCGTCAGAAGCTGTACAAGCTGAAGCAGGAGCAGGGTGTGGAGAGCGAACCGCTCTTCCCCATCATCAAGCAGGAGCCGGCTTCCCCCAGTGACAGGTGAGCAAACATCTGGGCCTGTCCCCGGGCACAAAGGCAGCCTTGTGCCCTCTCCCTTCCCGAGGCAGAGCTCAGGTGAGCAGCCAGCGAGGGTACCATCCCCGTCCAGTCCTCTCTTCTCCCTTCCGTGCAGGCTGGATCCCGAGGAGAGCCTGGAGGCACAGCCAGGGCCGTCCTCAGAGGCAGAGGCAGAGCAGGACACAGAGGCCAAGGGAGAGGCGGAAGGGGAGGCCGTGCTGATGGAGGAGGATCTGATCCAGCAGAGCCTGGATGATTACGATGCGGGCAAGTACAGCCCCCGGCTGCTGGGCCCCAACGAGCTGCCCTTCGACGCCCACGTGCTGGAGGCCGAGGAGGACACGCACCGGCTGCTGCTCCTGCGCCAGCAGCTCCAGGTGACAGGTGAGCCCCAGGGCAGCCTGCCCAGCATGGGGGTGTGCAGTGATTTGGGGTGCAGGACTGGAGGGGACGCTGCCCTCAGGAAGGGCAAGAGCTGGATCTGGGTCAAGCACCCAGAGCTGATCTGGCAGAGGGGTGCCCCTGGAGCAAAGGGCACTGTGGCCTGGGCAGGAGCAGTTCAATTAATCGTTGTTCTAAGATCTTCTTTGATGGGGAGGCCTTATTGGCGTCTTGGGCTTGTGACAGCTCAGTTGCTTTTTAATCTTAGCTACTTGGATAGCATGTGACCACTCTTTACGCCGTTATAAAGTTAATTTGGGTCTCCTGTATGACCGCAGTGGCTGGCACAGGATTTACCAACCCTGGATTTGCTATGGCTAAGTCAAGTTTACACTTAGGGAGATGGTGCTCAGGCTCCTAGTGCTCCCTGGGAGACCGCCCTCGGTACCACCAAGGTGTTTGGGTGCAGACAGGCAGGAGGGATGTTTTGGTTGAGTTTTCCAGCACAACTCAGCCCAGTGCCCACTCAGAGCCCACAGGGCAGCCCGTGCATTCCCGTATCCAGTTCTGCATGCTCTGCACAGTAGCTCCTTCTCTCTGCATGCCTTGGAGCAGTGTTGCACGGCCCAGGCCTGGCTGGCACTGCAAAATCTGATGTCCCCTCTCCTCCCCTGTAGGTGACGCTTCTGAGAGCACCGACGACATCTTCTTCCGCAAGGCCAAGGAGGGCATGGGCGCGGACGAGGCGCAGTTCAGCGTGGAGATGCCGCTGACGGGCAAGGCCTACCTGTGGGCTGACAAGTACCGGCCCCGCAAGCCCCGCTTCTTCAACCGCGTGCACACGGGCTTCGAGTGGAACAAGTACAACCAGACCCACTACGACTTTGACAACCCCCCCCCCAAGATCGTGCAGGGCTATAAATTCAACATCTTCTACCCCGACCTCATTGACAAGCGCTCGACGCCCGAGTACTTCCTGGAGGCCTGCCAGGACAACAAGGACTTCGCCATCCTGCGCTTCCACGCGGGGCCGCCCTACGAGGACATCGCCTTCAAGATCGTCAACAGGGAGTGGGAGTACTCCCACCGCCACGGCTTCCGCTGCCAGTTTGCCAACGGCATCTTCCAGCTCTGGTTCCACTTCAAGCGGTACCGGTACCGCCGGTGAGGCTCCGTGCCCTGGGACGCCCGCAGGGCTGGGCAGGGGCTCTCACCCCGCGGCACAGACACTGCTCCATGCGTGGCCCCAAGGCCTGGCCCAGCGCTGGGCACATTCCTGAGGCTTTTCTCTGTCCTTGCATTTATCATGAAGAACACTGAGACTTTGGTATAAATAAAATAAGGGTTGTTTTAGCCATGAGATCCTGGGCACAGGCACCCCCACTGCTCCTACATGACATCACCAGCCAGTGCCACACTGGGAACTCCCCTGGGGACTGGGTAGTGCCCATCCCCACAGAGTCAGCCCCATGTGCTCCTTGCCCCACTACAGCCTCCTTCCAGTCCCAACATCTCCCTTTACCAGTGCCAGACCAGTCCAGCTGCTGCTCCCCAGCTGGAGTCACAGAGCCCTTGCCTGCACCAGCTCAGCCCTGCCCTGTGTCCTGCTTCATAGAGGGGCCCCTCACCCTCCCCCGGGCCCCATTCCTGGCACGTCCTCCCATGGGATCTGGCTTCCCCAGCCTGGGAGCACTGCCACATCCCTCAGTCCTGGCTGGGGCATGGGAGGCTTTAGTGCTGCACGGCGCCTGCTCTGGTTGAGCAGAGGAGAGGGATGCTGGTTGAGATATTTCCTTACAGGGGAAAATCCGGATTCCAGAGCCTGCAGTCCCTCCCACGCCATGCCTGTGAGGCTCTCCCTGCCCTGGGCAAGAAGCAGTTGCAGTCCCCAGTATCCTGTTGATGAGGTGGGAGTTCCTGAGGGCCTCTAGTGACGTTCAGATGAGTTTTGGGCACCTTAGAGGCACTTCAGGGTTGAGCTGGGACTGGCTGGTGTTGGTCCCACCAGATGATGACCAAGGGCACAGCCACACTCTTCTGGGATCACCCCACATGGCTCCGTCCCCACAAGCCCCCAAACCCCAGGGTGTGTGCCTGTTCAGGCAGGCAGCATGAGGTGCTGGTCAGTAGTGCCCAGGAGTGCAGGAAACCTCTGCCCTGGCTTCACCAAGAGACCATTTCCTACCTGCATCCACTCTCTCCCCAGTACAGGCCCACGGTGCAGGGACTTAGGGGTCTGCCCAGGTCCTCCAGCACTAGGACAGAGGCAAGCCTGCTGTGCAGGGGCCTCCAAGCCCTTGAGGGCTGCCCCATGGCTCAGGGAAGTTGCCTTGTCCTGCTGCTGGCTCTGCTGCAGAGCCACCATGGGAGCTGGTGCTCAGGGGGCTCCTGTTCCTGCCCTGGTCACCCACACTTGTGGGGCTTGGCCTGCTTGCAGATGGGGGACCCCAACTGCCGTGGTCCTGCACGTGGGTGCCCCCTCCCCATCCTGCCGGACATCCCCAGGGCCAGCCCCGGACACGGTCCCCGGCCTCTCCTTCCTGGCAGTAATTTCCTGCTGCTCCCTGTGCAGGGGTGCTTTGGGACTCGGCGCAGGAAGTGAGTGAAGGCCTGGCTCGGGAGAAGGAAACGGGGAAAAAACCCAAACCCCAAAGCTGGTGGTTGGTGCCCTCCCTGCTCAGCTGCCAGGCAGAGCCTCCCTCCCCACAGCCCATCCCTTTCCCTCTTGGGCACACACACAGAGGTGGGAGAACTCCCCCAAAACCGTCCCACTGTATCTCCAGCTGGAACAGGGTCCATGTGCTCTTCCAGGCATGGCCTTTCCCTGCACGTCTGACTGCAGGCCCTGGATGGGGCCCCAGGAGCCTGAGCCCCGAGAGCTGCTGCAGCCTCCGGGCGTGTGCCGGGGCCAGATCAGGGCCTGGATCCGGCTGAAGCCCCTGACGGCTTTTCCCTGACCTGGCTGCTCTCAGTGCTGCTCCCAGCCCTCCCCCGCGTTTCGGGACAAACAGGGCCCGCAGCGGTGCCCGGGCAGGGCGGTGGTGGAGCTGCCCCGTGTCCCATCATCCGTGATGGGCTCGGCTCTCCCGGGCACACCCGGCCCCGCCTGGGGCAGCAGCGGCTGCCGAGCCCCGCGTTCCGCGGCCGGCGATGCCCCTCCTGTCCCGGCACTCGGGGCCAGCCCGATCCCCCTCCGCGGGCCGGCCCTGCCTTCCGCCGGGGCTCTCGCTGCCCCAATCTCTGCTCCAGCCCAGGGGTGGCGGGACGATGGCTCTGCAGCCCCTCAGTGCCCAGCCGGGGCCAGGAAAACCTGCCCGGGCATCCAGCCGAGAGCGGAGCCGCTGTGCCCCTGCTCGCTCGGGATGTCCCCGCGGACCCTGCGGACCCAGCTCCGAGGCCAGGGCCGAGCTCTGCCCTCCTCGGCGGAGCACGGGCAGCAGCGATGGAGGCTGCCGCTCCTGGGACCGTGGGAGGGAGGGAGGGAGCGCTGCCTGGGGCCGTGCCACCCCAGCTGGTCTCGGGTTTGGACAGCGCAGCGACATCCCGAGCTCGGAGCTGCCGGGCTGGGAAAAGCCCCGGGCGGCGAATCCCGCAGGGCAGGGACGGCCGGGCCTGCGGGAGCGCCCAGGGACCCCCAGCCCGCGGCCACCCCAGCGCCCGGAGCCGAAGCCGCCTCTCCCCTCTCGGGTCCGGGGTCGCTGCGGGGCTGGGCGGGGACGCCCCCCCCTCTGTCGGTCCCGCCGGGGGGCGGCACGGCCGGAGCGCCCACCCCCGCCTGCACAGGGACTCGCCCGAGTAAACGAGTGAGTAACGGGGCGGGAGCGCAGCCCGAGCGGACCCAGCCGCGGGAGCCTCCGCCAAGGGGGCTGCGGGCGCCGGCACCGGGGGGGCTGCACCGGGGGGCGCTGCCCGGACAGAGGGCGATGGGGCCGGGGGCCACCCCCGCCTGAAGGCCCGTCCCGAGCAGGGAGGGAGCCGAGAGGGACGGGGCCGGTTCCGGGGGGCGCGGCGAGCCCGGCCCTTCCCCCGCCCCGCGGCGGAGCCGAGCCGGGCCGGGCTGAGCCGAGCCGAGCCGAGCCGGGCCGGGCCGGGCCGGGCTGAGCCGAGCCGGGCCGGGCCGGGCTGAGCCGAGCCGAGCCGAGCCGAGCCGGGTCGAGCCGAGCCGAGCCGAGCCGAGCCGGGTGGATCCCGCCGGCAGCGAGGTAGGGCTCGGGTCTGCGCGGGGAGGGAGGCGTTGGAGGAGGGCGAGAGATTCGGGGCCAAGGGACAAAGAGCCCGGGAGGCTGGGATGGACGGACAGAGACGGGGATGGGCGGACAGACCGCCGGGACGGCTCTGGGGGCTCCGGGGCTGTGTAGGACGGTCGGGACTCCAGCGGCTCCCGAGGCTCCCGGGGCGCTCGGCTCCGCACGCAGCCCCGAGGATCGGGGGCGTTTCGAGGGAGGGGAAGCCGAGACCCCATCGTGGGGGACGGACACGTGGTGACCCCGCTCCCCCCACTGTCTGTCTGTCTGTCTGTCCCCGGGACCGAGGGTCCGCGTCAGGAATCTTCGGCGTCCCCTCGGAACCAGGGTTTGCTTTCGGGGCTCCCCCGCCCGCCCCGTGCGCCGCTGGCTCCTCTGGGGAGAGCCGGAGAAGGACGAGGAAAGGCTCAGGAAAGGGCCGGGAACGGAAGGGTCCATTCCGGGCTGTAGGAGCGGGCGGCCCAGCAGCCTTGGAGCCCTGGAGATGCCGCGGGGTTGCGGGCGGGGGGCCCGGGTACCCAGGGCTCTGCACTCCAGGACACCCGGGCTGATCCTGCAGGCACCGCCTGCCCCGCTCCGGGGCCCTGAGATTGGGGATGGTGCCAGCTGCTTCCCAGTCAGACGAGAGGCTGGGGACCTCTGCCCTAGGCCACAGCAGGGACAGGGAAAACCCGAAAACCCCAGCGAGGACAGCTACCATGCCTGGCAGGAACCATCCCGTGTGTCACTGCTTCCCAGAAATGTCCTCTGTCCTGGGAGCCCTTGGGATGTCTCTGCTCTAGGCCAGGCCAACCTCTTCAGGAGCAGGTCCTTGTGATTGTTGTGGGTCCAGGCAGGAACACTGATGCTCTGCCAAGTCCTCATCCCCACGGCCTTTCCTGTCCTGGCTGATGACCTCGACCTGATTTGGTACCCCAGAGCCCCAGGCTGGAGGGAGGTGGCAGTGGGAGCACACCCACCCCTGGCAGGTGACACAGGTCCCGTGGGACCACCTGCACCAGGGGGCAGAGGCAGAAGGGATCCTGCAGGAAGGTCACTGTCCTGGAGAGCTCCAGCGAGTGGGATGTGGGATAAATACAAACGCAGGGATAAATGCAGACACCCTGCAGCATCCTCTGCACGGCTGCCCTGTGGCTCAGCACCACATCCAGGGCCAGACCCCAGGCTGAGAGTACTGTGGGGTGTGGGGGAGTCACTGCTGTCTGGTTTGGGGGTCCCTTTGCTGGTGTGTGGTGCCTCTCCCTGCCCCCATCCTGGCCTGATCTTGCAAGCCCTGTCCAGGCCCATGCCCAGTCCTGGCAGGGGGAGCCTGGGGAAGCAGCAGGCTGGGGCAGAAGCTGATAAGGAGCAGCTTCCCACAGTCCCCATCTGCCTTTGCCTCCCTCCCCTCGGATGTGGCCAGGGCAGGAAGCAGAGCCCAGCAGCGGCAGGGCAGCCCTGGTGCATCTGCAGCAGGACCCAAACCTGCCAGGAGCCCCCCACACTGCTGCCAGTGCCTCACAGCCTCCAGCAGGACATTTTAGAGCTGGCTCCTCTCCTCTGGGACTTTGCCCCAGCACCCCTTGCTAAATCCTTGCTTCCCTGGCATGTCCATTTTTCTGGGTGCAGAACCCCAAACCCGAGCACAGGGGGTCACTGGGGGCAGTCCCTGGGCTCAGGATTTCCCTTCTGCAGTGGGGGAAATGGCAAGTGGGGACCCCCAGCCCCACAGGAGCCCCTTCCCAGAGGCAGCCCTGGCGTGCTCTGGCACAGAAGGGGTTCCCTCGCTCCAGCCCTGCAGGGCTGGGTGGCCCCTTGTAAATATTTGTTTCCCTCTGAGTGCTGTGCCCAGCTGAGGCAGCTCTGCACAGGGGGGTCCCGGTGCTCAGCCCCTGAGCCCAGCTCAGAGTCCCCCAGCCCCAGGGTCCCTGTCCAGGCCCAGTGGGGTCCTGGCTGTGCTTTTGTCAGGGCAGGAGGTGCAGGGAGCACAGGGAGGGGATGTGGGTAATGGTGGGATTTGGAGCTTCTGGGGCTGCTGCCTCCGTGCCTGGCCAAGGTGCCACTGCAGGGTGACCCCCCTGGCACTGGACACTGTGGGGAGGGGCCATTCCCTGCCCCAGTGAGCAGCCAGGAGCACCCTGGGGCTGTGAGCACCCAGGTTACAGGGACAGCGGGGGGACAGAGGGACCCCTGTCAGCACAGGGAGCACCCTGGGACAAGGGGAACGTGTTGGGGACTGCGCCCAGAGCAGTGTGGGCAGGTGGGTGGCAAGGGACAGCTGGAGGGGGACTGGCACACCAGGCACTCGCGTGGCACCGCTGTGGGGCAGGGGTGACTTTGTCACCTCCCAGAGGACGTGGGAAAGGCTGGTGACTCCTCGGGCTCTCAGAATGTCACGCTGAGGCCTCAGCACTGTCTGCAGGGCCGACGCCTCTGGGGCTGGGGCGGTCCCTCGGGGAGCAGTGAGAACAAACAGCAGCGAGTTTTCACTCTGGGCTCATGGAAACAGCCGGGCCCACCCTCACAGTGATTCACCAGTGCTCTGCCAGACCCCAAACAGACAGGACAGGAGAGGAGAGGGATGGGGCCGAGCCACCACCGCCATCCCCGGCCCTTTCCCTGTCCCAGGGCTGCCGGTCCCGGGGCACGGCCGGTGCCGGGGCAGGGCAGGGTGCTGGCACCCTGTGTGTCCTTATCCCCAAGTGTCACCAGACTGAGGCCCCAGAGGATGTTGCAATGCCTGGCCCATCCCAGCCGGGCTGTGGGATCAGCGCCTGCCTCGGGTGTGCGCAGCGGCTCCCGGCCCTGTGGCTGCACCAGGGGCCAGAGAGGGGCTGGCAGTGAGGGGTGTGTGGGGGAGGGACAGGGCATGGGGACCATCAGGACAACACTCACAGAGCCAGGCCAGTGATGGACCAACGGCCAGGGCTGGCAGTGATCAGAGTTGGTGTGACATTGGTGTGAGGTTTGACTTCTGTGAGGGACAGAACACAGGTGGCAGTGTCACCGTGCACAGGGGAGGAGCACTGCCGTGGGGGCTTTCAGGGGTGGTGTGTTGGGGTAGGGCTGGGCTGAGGACCCTGTCAGCCAGGAGGGTGGGCTGGGGCAAGTGGGGTGGCAAGAACATCCACAGCCTGGAGAAAGGGGTCCCAGCAGGAGAGGAGGGGTGTGCTCCCTGTGGGGGTCTGTGCCCCAGGTTGTCCAGTCCCCACTGTTGCCATGTCTCTGTCCTGTCCCACATCATCCCATTTGCAGCCTGGACTAATTTGCAATGGAGGGCCATGTAGGACCATGAACCTTGTGGGTGCCTTCCAACTCAGGATGCCCCATGATTTTAAGATTTCCAGATGCTTCCCAGCCCAAGCAAAGCAGAGTGGCACTGACCAGGCTGTCCAGCACCACAGCCATCCCTGTCACACCCTGTCCTGGTGACAAACCCACAGCTCTCACTGTGAGGGATGCCAGGAAGCCAGAGCCGGTCTGTCACCCACACTGGCTGTGGTTTGGACACAGTGCCAGGGTTGCAGCACAGCCTCAAACCTGTACCTCAGGTTTCTTCAGCACACTGGAGGAATGGGGCATCTCCACAATGAGCCAGGGGTTTATGCTCAGGGATGGGCAGGGTCAGGATCATGCCCTGGTGCAGCCACTCTGTGCCTGCACCCTTCAGAGTGTGTCCCCAGCTGTGATGGAGGGTGATGGCCCAGGGATCTCTGGCTGAGTCCCCTTGGGGCAGGAAGGAGCCAGGCTGTCAATGCTGAGATTCCCCCAGCACCCTCTGTGCCGGGATTCAGACTCATGGCTGCAGCCCCACGTGGCTCCTGGCCCAGGACAGTTAATCCCAGCAGCTGGAGGGCTGTAGCCCTTGGCACCCTCTGCAGCTGTGCCTGGGGGCGGCACGAGCCGGGTCCCACCCTGGTGTCCCCTCCATGGGCTGGGGTCCCACCCTGGTGTTCCCCTCCATGGGCTGGGGTCCCACCCTGGTGTCCCTCTCCACAGCCCCTGGAGGACCCCATATCTGCAGGCTGAGGATGGATGATGGGTGGGCCTGGCCATAGGGAGCAGCCCTAAATTCCCTCCATTCCCCCCGCAGGGATTGGTGCCGGCAGCGGCAGGAGCTGCAGCCATGGAGCAGAGCCAGGCCGGGGCCTGAGGCTGCTGGAAGGAGCAGGGGGGGGTGCAGGACATGGAGCCCCCCAACAGCAGCACGGCCGGGCAGGCAGCCTCGTGCTTCGGGGTGTTCAATGCCAGCGACGGCCGTGCCAGCGCACAGAACAGCATCGCCTCGCCCTGGTTCTCCACGGCCTTCGGCCTCATCGGCCTCTGCTCCAACCTCTTTGCCCTCTGCGTCCTGGTCAGCTCCTCCCGCAAGCTCTCCAGCCAGGCCCGCTCCTCCTTCCTCATCTTCCTCTGCGGGCTGGTGGTCACAGACTTCATGGGGCTGCTGGTGACAGCCTCGGTCATCATCCCCTACCACTTCACCAAGTTCTCCTGGGCCGAGGTCGACCCTGGCTGCCACCTCTGCAACTTCCTCGGCTTCTCCATGGTCTTCTTCGGGCAGTGCCCGCTGCTGCTGGGGGCCACCATGGCCGGGGAGCGCTTCGTGGGCATCAACCGCCCCTTCTCCCGCTCCACCAGCCTCTCCAAGCGCCGCGCCTGGGCCATCGTGGGGCTGGTGTGGGGCTTCTCCTGCTTGCTGGGACTGCTGCCGCTCTTCGGGCTGGGGC